TCTGCTGACTTCTTTCTGATTTAGATTGTTTCTGTATGAGGTCATGTCAAACTGTTTAATCTTCCTCAAATTTCCTAAAGTGATTTTTTCACTTCTACTAGCTAAGCCGAATAATTTTCCGTCATACAATGCAACTGTTCTGATCAATATTACCTACTCAACAAATAACCCAGTAATCTACTTGTTGACTATATTGACAAGCTTAACTTTAATAAATATTGATGAACAAGTGACATGTGATTAATATTTCACTTTCAATGTTATATTTAAAGATTCTACACTAAATAAAAGCCAATTGTATTTTTTTATTTATATGGATACCACAATTCTGTCTTCAGTTATGCAGATTTATACACAGAATTTCAGATAGACCTGTTTTCAGGTTAATTCAATTTGAAAGAGAAGTTTGCCTAAAATAAGCTAATTCTAGTTAGTCATACAACAACATATTTTGAGTTCATTGTGTGGTTTGATAAGGACTTCAAAGTAATCAAGATTAAAATGTTCAAGAAAGTAGATGAAGAGATGGAGTATTTCACTAGAAAACTGGAATTTATAAAGAGGAACCAAGTAGAAAAATTTAGAACAAAAGATGCAATAACTGAAATTTAGTTCAATAGACAGGTTGAATGGCAGATCAGAAACAACAGAAGAGAAGATTAGTATACTGGAAGATAGGTCATAAAAAGTATCCAGATTAAGGGACAGAGAGAAAAAAGCCGGCACATATAGAAAAGGGCATAAACAACATATGGGACACCAAGACAAAGTCTAATACATGTGTGCTTGATGTCTCAGGAGGAGAGGAGAGAAAGAAGGAGGCAAAAGGCAATACTTGAAAAGGTACTGGCTGAAAAATTTTTAAAACAGATGAAAACCACAAAAGACCTCAAACAGCCAAAGCAATCTTGAGAAAGAACGACATAGTTGGAGGCATCACACTTCCTCATTTCAAATTATATTACAAAACTATAGTAATCAAAATAGTACTGGCATAAAAACAGACATATAGACCAATGGAACAGAATAGAGAGCGCGGAAATAAACCCAAGCATATATAGTCAACAAATTTTGACAAGGGCACCAAGAATACACAGTGGGGAAAGGACAGTCTCCTCAATAAATGGTGTTGGGAAAACTGGATATCCATATGCAAAAGAATGAAATTGGACCATTATCTCACACCATATACAAAAATCAACTCAATATGGATTAAAGACTTTAATGTAAGACCTGAGACTATAAAACTCCTTGAAGAAAACCTAGGGAAAAGGCTCCTTGACATTGATCTGGGCAATGATTTTTTTGAATATGACACCAAAACCTCAGGCAATAAAAGCAAAAATAAATAAGTGGGAGTACATCAAACTAAATAGCTTCTGCACTGCAAAGGAAACAATCAACAAAATGAAAGGCAACCTATGGGGTGGGAAAAAATATTTGCAAACCATATATCTGATAAGGGGTTAAAATCCAAAATATATAAGGAACTCATACAGCTCAACGGTGAGAAAAAAAATAATCCAATTAAAAAATGGGCAAAGGACTTGAATAGACGTTTTCCCAAAGAAGACATACAAATGGTCAACAAGTATATGAAGAGGTGCTCAACATCACTAATCATCAGGGAAACGCAAATCAAAACCACAATGAGACATCACCTTACCCTTGTTAGAATGGCTGTTATCAAAAAGACAAGAGATAACAAGTGCTGATGTGGATGTCGAAAAAATGCAACACTTGTGAACCATTAGTGGGAATGTAAATTGGTGCAGCCATTATAGAAAACAGTATGGAAATCCCTCAAAAAACTAAAAATAAAACTACCGTATGATCCAGCAATCCTTCTTCTGGGTATATACCCAAAGGAAGTGAAATCAGTACCTTGAAGAGATTTCAGTGCTACTGTGATCATTGCAGCATTATTCACAATAGCCAAGATGTAGAAACAACATGTCCATTGACAAGTGAATAAATGAAGAAATTGATATATATATATGCATACTTTATATACATATATATATATAGAAAGAGAGAGAGAAAAAATGGAATATTACTCAGCCTTAGAAAAGAAAGAGATCCTACCATTTGAAACAGCGTAGATAAACCTGGAGGCCATTATGAAATAAGCCAGACAATGAAAGAAAAAAAACTGCATGATCTCACTGATACGTGGAATCCTAAAAAGTCAAATACATAGAAGCAGAGAGTAGAATGGTGGTTACTGGGAGTTGGGGGAGGGATGGGGAGATGTCAGTCAAGGGTACAAGTTGGAGTTATATAGGATAAATAAGTTTAGCGATCTAATACTATAGATAATAATACTGTGTTGAATACAGGAAATTTGCTAAAAGATTTCAGGTAGTCTCATCACACACACACAAAAATGGTAACTATGTGAGGAGGTTATGTTAATTAGCTTGACTGTAGTAATCATTTCATTATGTACATGTATATCAAATCATCATGTTGTACACCTTAAATGTATACAATTTTATTTTAAAGAACTGATGAAACATATTAAGGCACAGATTAAGAAACTCTATGGACATTTAGAAAGGAATTAAAGAAGACTAACTAAATGGAAGAATATACCATGATCATGGATTGAAATGCTCAATATTGTAAAGATGTTAATTTGCCCCAAACAAGCTACATGGAAATGAGAAAGGTTAAAAAAGAGTAATGACAACCTTGAAAAATAAAAACAAAGTTGGGAGAACTTGCACTGCCAGATGTCAATATTAATTATAAAGATACAGTAACTAAAACAGTAAGATGTGAGCACAAAGATAGACCAAAGGTCAATGTAACAGAAGAGTCCAGAAACAGACCCATAAGCATGCAGACCATCTAATTTATGATAAAGGTATCAGTGCAATTCAGTGGGGGAAAGGGTTATCTTCTCAATAAATGGATCCACTAAACATCCATATTGAAATGGATCTTCCCCTTACCTCACACCATACTGAAAAATAATTCCTTAATTTTAAAAATAAAACACTAAAGCTTTTATAAGATAACATGGGAGGTTATCTGCATGAATTTGAAGCAGTGAAAGATTTCTCAATTGGAACATAAAAATATAATCATCAAGAGAAAGACTGATAAATTGAACTCAAAATGGATTAAACTTAGGAATTTCTATTCATCAAAAGACACTAGAGAGTAAAAAGGCAAAAAGCAAGCCATAGACAGGGAAAAGATATTTGTAATACATATATCCAACAAAGGATACACGTCCAGAATATATTTAAAAAAACTCCTACAAATCAATGGGAAAAAGAGAGAAAGAGAAACCAATAATGGGCATAAAATTTAATAATTACCAAGGAGGATATGTAAATACCCAATAAGGACATAAAAAGATGCTTTCTTTACCATTTGTCATCAGAAAAATTCAAATTAAAACCAAAATGATATATCACTACACCCTCACCAGAATGGCTAAATTAAAAGGACTGACCTTATTAAGTGTGGTGAGGATGTGGGGGTGAAAAGAACTCTCAATAGTGCTGAAGGGAGCGTAAACGGCTACACTCCCCTGGAGAGCTTCTTGGCAGCAACTAGTAAAGCTGAATATGTGCATACTTCATGAATCTGCAATTCCTTTCCTAGGTTTATACTCAAAATGATGCATACACAATATATATTCAAAAATATTGATACATACAAAAATATTTGTAGAAGCATTATGTGTAATAGCCTCAAACTAGAAACAACCCAGGTGTCCACAAACTGTATAATGGATAAATAAATAGTCATGCAAAAGAATTCTATACAGCACTGAAAAAGATCAAACTATTACTATTTGCAACAATCTTATAGATATAATGTTAGACAAACTAAGAATGAATAGATACTGTATAATTCCATTTTTTGTCAAGTTTTAAAAAAGTCAGATTTTAAAAAACGAGCAAAACTAACCTATAGTAATAGAAATCAGAATAGTGGTTACCTTTGGGTGAGTAACGATTGAGAGGGAGCACAAAGGAGACTTCTGTAATGCCATTAATGTTCTTCTTTTTCTAAATTTGCATGGGTGTGTTTACTTTGAAAAAATACATTGAGCTGTACATTGATAAATTGTTTACTTTCTTGTATGTTACACTTCAATAAAAAGGGGTTTAAATGAAAGCAAATCGTGGCAGCCCCTCTCCTAGAGGCTTCCTTCCTGTATGGTGGCCTAGGTTACACCACGTACATTTACTATAATTTTCCAGCTTTCACTCTCTTTACGAACCTGTGATTCACCCACTGGCCCCATTGATCCTTCTTGTAACCTCCCCAGCGGTGTGGAAGCCCAGCCTGTTGTCAAGGGAGCGAACAACAGAAGGAGAGGACACGAAGTGTCAGGATGAAAGACATAGGGAATCTCTGCAAACATGAGCTACTCCCATGACAAGGGCTACAAAGAAATGGCAAGGTTTTGCCCCATTCAATGCATGAAGTATCAGCACTTCAAAGATTCATTAGTCATGGAACTTTTCCATAGTTGTATAAAGATTAAAATGCATCTGACTTTTAAACCAGTTGTCATAGAATTATCTATTGTCCTTTTGCTGTGAGGATTGATCTAAATTTAATATGAAGAGTTGTTATAGAAACTTACTACATCAAACGTTTTCCTATAAAATACTAATCAAGATAACTATTTAATGCCATGACAGGCAAGTTACCATATCTCTTTCTAGCTTTCTATTTACTCCATAACACTCTCATTACATACAACCAATGTGATATTTTGGATGAATTGGTGTATTGATATATTAAAATTGAAATCAATAACTGGTGAAATTCTGTTTAAAAAATTCAACTTTGTTGCTTGACTAAAATGATTTTGTCACTTTTTTAGAACAAACTGACCAGTTAATTGCGTTAAACTGGTTTGTAGCCATAGCTTAAATTTTTTCCTCACATGCTGTTAGTTGCTGTTCAACCAAGGGGAAAGTTCAGTCTCTGGAAAGAAATATCTTCATTGATTACTATACCAACAGCAATTACATCGAAACAGAGTCTAGCGAGACCTGTAAGTTCTTGTATAACCTGATGACAGATGCCTGAAGAATATCCACAAAGTGTGCCCTTTCCGCTCCCATGCCTTGGATATTCCACGAAGCCGGAGTATCTCTGTTATAGTCAAGGCTCCCCTCGGTTCCACAGGTACAGTCCCTGTCCCAGCTGAAACGTGCTAGGGAAAATACACAGTAAACCGGCAAGCTTTACCGGGGAGACGCCAAGCTTCTCTTTCTTCACCGATTGTAATTTATGTAATTCATGGTGAACGAAATGAAATGTTCTCCATGTTTTCTACAGCCCGATACACACTCCTCCTCCAAGAGCAACAATTCAATGACTAGGAGAGGTTTTTTTAAAATGATATTCTATCTTTACACATGCTGTTTTTTAAATTTCAACATTGGTTCCAAATCAGAATTTTAACTAGAGTGGGATAATGAGATTTTGGGAACTAAAAATTTTACCGCATGTAGTGTAGAGGTTTGATTTATTAAAAATGCATATAGTGTCGTACAGTGGTTTTTTGATTGTTAAGCTGTCACTAGATGTCACAATATGCTCATTCTTTCACTAGAGGGTACCTTAATAAATATATTAAACTCAAGTAAGTGAGCTTTTCCACAATAAAAAGACATACCAAACTTTAAGAAAAACATGAATCTATTAGGTACAATCAGTGTATATCATAAAAACATATAAATACCTACTTGGAGCTTTATATGGTTGAGATTTATATGGTTGAATTATATTTACATAATTCTATGAACACACAAGAAAATCCAAATTTTATTTTTTATTGATTGATTCACCCATCTATCCATTCATTCATGTATACACGCCCTCACTTAATTATCCAAAGGATTTCAGAATGAGAAAGCAACCCCAGAAATCATAATTATTATCTTCGTTTTACAGGTGGACACACTGAAGTTCAAAGAGGGGAAATTATTTCCTCAAGTCCACTTCATTAATTGATTCTGGACCTTAGATCCTCTAAGTCATAATTTCATGCTGCATTCACTACGTTAAATTTTAAGATATTGTGGAAGTTAAAAAAAAAATAAACTTCTGTTTCTGAGATTTCAGAAAACATCATCAACATTGTTGGTACAAAATAATATATGCCCCATATCCATGTGTGTTCTACACTTTTCTTTTTCCAAGTTGTGTGTTTTGGACTCCTTGGGCCTGTCTCTTTCTCTTTGTGATAACCCACGGAATTACAGTTTCTGGCCTTGAAAATCCAGAGGCATTTGTAAGTGCTGGTGAAAGAAACCTCTGTAAATAAGACAGAGAAAATGTTGCATTTTCCTCTGCAGCTTCAGAGAAAAAGTAAATGGCACTGTGCGTCATAAAAACGTTGTTAGTAAAACACCTAGACTTTAGATACTGATGTTATATTCTGTTAAAGTTTCCCTCATCCTGTAAAAGATTTAATTCTGATTGGTTGACTTAAAGTGTTTTGTTATGGAAATAAAATTTAAATTCCTTTCTGCTCTCCAGAAGCTAGAAATACTCATACCTTTTCATTTTAAGCCAGAAGGGAATCACTAACACTTCCCTTTTCTCACACTGGTATGTGGTATTATGATTCGGATAAGAGTTCTTATTTAAACAAAGAACTTGCAAGTTTTGTCTTGCAATAAGAGAACAATGTCCAGAGGCATCACCCGCTGTCCACATGCCCTCTGAGCTAAGAGTCAGGAAATAATAGTATTTACCTTTAAGGGGCATTCTCATCCTCCACACACTCATATAGCTCTAGCCTTAAGGTACGTCGATGTTAGGTTTGCTCTGGTTATTCCTAAATGATGGATTGAAGTTTGGTAATTGCATCTGTCTTCATGATCAATGGGCATTGCTCTGCAGTTGACTCAGTTAGGACCACTGGAGTGTGTCAGATTCGAGCCTGAGTTGAGTGGATTTATCGTGCTCTGGTTGGCATCATCCTAAATCTATTGGGCACTGCCTTTGCTCCCTCTTTCTGGGACCCTCAAGGAAATTATTGCTTCTCTGGACACAGCTGACAGTCAATAGATTCTTGATGGATAGAAGAATGTGTGCATGGATGAGTGAGATATCAGTTCTATTCCTCCAGGACCACAGCTACTGGGAAAGAAGTACACTGAATTCCAAAATGCGATCACTTATAACAATATAGGTAGTAACCACAGAATTCAGAAGTGAAAACTTACTGGTTTCTTTCTCTGTCATTATTGCTTCCATTGGAGATCAATGGGTGGAGGGCAAAGGTCCTTAGAGTCCTCAAGTAAACTGTTTTTTTCTATGCAGCGCTCATCCCCATGTCTGCTTCTATCACAATTCTTGTCATGATGTATAATAACCAATGATTTCCTATCCCTCTGTAATACCTCAAGAGCAAGGACCATCTCTTGTTTTTCATACAACCTCATTAATTAGCACAATGCCTGGCACATAGGATAACTCAATAAATGTTTGTTAAATGAATGAATGAAAAAAAAGCCTATAAAAAGAAAAATATATGACTATTGTGGGAGATCAAGATTTGGCCACCCTGAAATATATCTCTTTACCTTGATTGTTTTCTCTGAAGGACATTTGACCTCCCCCACTAACTGCCTAAAGAATTTGACATGGTGGCTCCTTCCTGGAACAGATCTTGTATCATGATGGCTGTAAAGATAATGTAGGATAGAGGTTACAATAGGAAAGGCACCAAGCCCCTTTTATCAAAAACTCTGTCTCTCCCTGACCACATTATCTATAGATGACCCTAAAAAGAATTGTCTTCCTGCCCTCTGAAGTCCCAGGCCACTACTTAGACAGAGGGACGAGTTGCTCATTTCTGAGTTTCTCCCATGTATACATGTTATTAAACTTGGTATTATTTTCTCCTGCTAACCTGTCTTGTTAATTATTTGGCCAGCCAGAAGAACCTTAAGGAAAAGGGCAGAGGGAGATTCTCACTCTTCCCCCGACACTATGTAAAGGCTAAATGTTTGCAAAACTCAAACATAGAAAACAGGCCGTAGAAGGAAGAAAACATTTGCGGAAAATCATTGGCCCAGTCCATACAGACATTCAGCTTCTCATATTGGAATAAAATCTAGTAGAGAGACTCCCCTCTCTTGAGGATAAGACTTAAATCATTTACAGCAGAGCTCTTAAAGAAGCATGTGTAAAAAAAAAAAAAAAAAAGGCCCATCTGGTATTATAAGTGTGTATTTTGGGGGAAAAAAAAATAACACAATACAACACAAAGCACATCTATCATTTTTATTACACAATCTACAGAAAGCAAAGATTTATAAAATCTTTTTGGCCAGAGGGAATATGAAAAAAGATAGATTTTCCCAAGTGGAGGAGTAAAGACTCCAGGAGAGACATGAGATTTTTATGTTTATCTAACAGGAGCTTAGGTTTTAAAAGGCTGGGAAACAATAACTTGGCATAAATTATACTTCTGCTCCTGAGGCCCTCTGCTTGTTCTGGAGAGTTGCAGAGTCAACAAAACCAGAGGGTTCTATTAAGCAGGGCAATTTCTATTATTCACTCTGATCTGAGGAGCCTGGGGAAATAATCCCACAACTCAACCAGGTGTCTGAATTTCCCTTGGCTTCTGCAGGGGCGTTTATTATCTACCTCCTCCAGCTGAGGCATAGTACAGAGTTCAAGGCCTCTTCTGTAACTGGATCTTTACACATCCATTTGCCCCTTTTCTCCAGTCGTCTTACAGCATGAACCTTTGTAAACCTTCTTCCGGGCCCCCTTCTCTCAGCCTGCCGATCAGCAGCTAGATTCTAAGCCATCCAATATCCTATTTTACCTACAATTCTAATTGGTATAGCCCTTTCAAATTTATAAAGTGCCACTACATACAAAATCCTTTAAATTAAAAAAAAAAAAAAAAAAAAAACAAGGTCAGCAGTTAACTTGAGAGCTGTAACTAAGGTGCAGGAATTGCCCATCCTGCAGGACAGCAGGCAGGCAGTCAATGCCCACCGCCTAGCCTCTAGAGAGCAACCTGGATCTCATCAAGGCCCCCAACCTAAGTACTGATTTATAGGAAATAAACAGGAGAGAGAAATATGCTAAACGATACCAGGGATTCCACCAGTTGAATGTGAGAAATTTTACAGGACAAGTGACTTGGTTGATTTAACAATCGGTGTGGAAGAAGTAGAAGGGTAATGGATCAGAAGTGGAAAAGAGGTCTGAGAACGTCACCGGGTGAGCCTGAAGGGAGGCAGTCGTGGTCGGAGAGAGGGACGCTCCGATTAGCAGGTTGGGAGGCGGGCCTTCGTGGGTGATATGATGACACGGTAGGTATGAGCGTGAATCCACAGCAACGGGGGTGGAGGAACCAAATGGCTAATTGGATTGGAAGTTACTTTTCAGCATTAATGGCAGTTTGTTCAAGAAGCAAAAGAATTTCCTAGCAGTCCTTGCCCCAACATATACTGGCCCCAAACACTGTGCTATGATAATGCAGGGCACTCAGAGAGAAGGGGAATCATTTTTTTACAGCTTTCCTAGGGCACAATACACACAGAAAATAATGTTGTCACCTTGAACTTTCGAAATCCCTTTGCCTAGATAGCCGTGCACTATTTTTCATCCTCACAACATTCTTGCAGTGCAAAAAGGGGGACAGATATTAAGAACCAGGGAACAGAAAATCTATACTTTATTAAAATAGGGTGCCTAGAAGTTAATTGACTCCCATTTGTCTTTTCAAGCTTAGAAAGAGCTGGCTAAGAGACCTCTTGGGCAAGGAGGCAGGCCAGCACTCACAGAGCCTAATGCCGCATCTTGACCCATAACTCTTCCTACTGGTGGCCAAGCCCTTCTCGAAAGGAAGGAAGGCTGAGCAAAGAGCAGTGAAGGCTCAGGACAGCTGCTGTCACAGGAATGTGTCCCACCCTGAGAGTCACGAAGCTGACTCTACCGCCAGGTTGCTAAGGAGTGCCGGGGCTGGGATATGGTGACTCAGTGGCAGGGCTCAGAGCCTCCCACTGGAGTGCTCATGGCTCCCTGTTCCTGGGCTGGCCTAGGCCTAGGGCTGATACGCCCACCACTTAGGGTAGGCCGCTCAGCCAGATCATGCCAAGTGGTCTCATAGCCTTTCTTCCTTCCACCAAGCCTTGTGCTCCAATCTATCTTCTATCTCCTCCTTGCATGATGGGAGGAGTCACCCCACTTTGTTCTCTGCTTTCTGCCACAACTCGAGTTTATGTACACCATGGGTCTCTTCTTAAGTTTCCGCTGGCAGCGAGGCACGAAGGAGAATCAAGAAACCCTCTGCAGAGTCTCTGTCATCACTTCTTTTCAACAATATTTATAGCACAGTGCCATGGGCTAAATACTGAGTCCAGTGACAGAAAGCAGTGCAAATAAAAACATTCATTTTTCATTTTCACTGGATAAGGACAACTGAATTAGAGGAAATCAAAGCAAAATAAAAAAAAAACACAATTGACACATTTATATATTACAATATTGTTATTGCAAACACAAAGAATTAGTCAAGTGCTTTACAAATGAAACACTGCCTTTAGGCTAAATACAGATTTGTAACGGGGTCTTCATGGCCCAGGGAGCTGAGTGCTTCTCCTGCAGCGGGTGGCTTCTAGAAGAAGGGGCTGATGATCCCCAGGACCCATTGCTAACTGATGCACATCACCGATAAACTCTAAAATCTCTCTTACTTCACACACACCCTGAAGACCAAGGAATACCTCTGGAATACTAACGTACTCTCATTAGTTTTCATTATTAATAGATAGACATATCAACCCACAGGGTTATAATCTACTGTACATCATGAACTATAGCCATAATTTGTCTTAGCAAGATTGTACAACATAATAAATAGTCTTTAAATCATTTTAAAATAATGATTTGGGGCCAGCCCAGTGGCACAAGCGGTTAAGTGCATGCACTCCGCTGCGGTAGCCCGGGGTTCGCCAGTTCCGATCCCGGGTGTGCACCGACACACTGCTTGTCAAGCCATGCTGTGGCGGTGTCCCATATAAAGTGGACGAAGATGGGCATGGATGTTAGCCCAGGGCCAGTCTTCCTCAGCAAAAA